AGTCCCAAACGCCTTCCTTGCCCGCCCGCCCACAAACGGACGACCGTTCCTGACGCTCGTATTCATTCATTTGCTGAGCAAATTATAAAGCAAAGGGGTTGGTATAAAGCGGCGGGACCTGATGCTGCATGCATATATGGGTACACATATGCAGCCGTATCTTCGGTAGCGGTGATTGGCAAGATGCGTACGGGAAACTCGTCCGAAATCGATTTACAAGTCACTGAGAACGGAGGCTTTTTCGTTCGGGGCCGGGGAAATTTTGGACGATTTCATTGCCGTTCTTTCGCCATTTCCCCACTATACAGTGCCCTACTAGCATTTGAAGGAAACCATCGTGCCAACTGCATTTAAAGCGGTGCCACACGTCAGCATCCATTTACTGGTGCGTAGAAGACTTGTCAAGTAAATATCTGTAATCTGTCTTCGCGCCGATTTATCCCATCGTTTTTCTCTGGCTATGACATCCAACAAAACAGCGATGGGCCACGCCAAAACGTTCGCAAACAAGTGCTGATGTGAAGCGCTTGACATATGCAACTGTGGGTGCACGTGCATGATGTGCATCCATCAGTGGTACGATTGTCTTGACCCGCTTCTAACCCCTGTTCAATGCATCGTTGAAATTGGTTTGCAGGTTTTGCCATGATCACGTTTGCCTTCCTGTATCCTGCATTAAACTCTGAAGACAGCGTCCGCAATCAACCACAGTGCAGAAACCTTCCACTGTACAAGATGGCGTAGTCCGCAATTACACAGGATGTCCCACTCCCGCGACTCGAAAGCGCTTGATAAATGGAGGCGGGCTAAGCTGCGATACAGCCCTTCACAGACTAGTTCCTCCTCGACAGTATTTCGTTATCAAGATTCATTGCGGTGATTGGTGCTAAACTTATCGAATCTGCCTTGGAAAATAAGTAGTAGCAAGGCGGAGATCGACTCGCTCAAAGTTCGGTTAACTCGCCCAATCACAATCTCGCACGTGTACTCTAGTTTGCTGCGGATGAAGGGGCGTGTCAGGCAGCATGAGTGTGCCACGGCGCCAAACCCGTCTCTGCCAGTTGTTGAAGCGAGTATGTGCCAACGATTGTTGAAAAACTAATGATACGAACGATACGGTGCAGTGCAATTCGCTTCAGCAACTGGTGGAGAACGGGTTTGGCCCCGCGCCAAACTCATCCCGCCTGACACGCCCCTTCTTTGGCAGCGAACTAGACCATATATTCCTTTGCTTTTTTTCATATCTCGCTCGTCTAGCTCCTCCTCGCTGTTCCATAGCTTAAAGCACGTTCTTGACCAATACGCTTTCTAGTCAATTACTGTAATTATCTGCTTTGGGCCCATATGGAGGAATCGTGGGCACAAGCCACAAAACCGTACACACGACAAGAACAACGTTGGTCGTCACAGCCAAGCAATAGCTGTACGCCTATGAGCGTTCATAGTGGTGATCCATGCAAACGGTTGGGGCGTTTGATGCGGCGCGGTTAGGAGCGCGGCCAGGGCGGCCTCGTCGTCCCAACAGGGATGTCAGCCTGAGTCCGCTACAGCTGGTGAAAAATCTGCTCTGGCTGCGCCCCAACCCATGCTGCCGTCCCCATCAGTTCCGGCGATCACGACTGTACCCTCGGCATGGGTGAAGGCTCCCGACATTCACAAGCCCCTGCCACATAAATTCGAGTTTTCAATAGCATAGCCTAACAGTGTATGGACCTGGTCACCTTTTGAATAATATATTCCTCTTTAAAGACACATGTTACGATCACACATAGTTTGGGTGTGCATGACTATCAGCCCCTTCCCCCCCAGCCGTCGAAGGCAGCTTTTCGAGAACATAAGCGTTTCCCGTCCTAAAATAATCGGGAATGGAGAATACAGACGGAACACGAATATAGAGGAGCACGCAAAATTGCCTACCATGCTCGCCTCAGTGCCCTTGCGTTGCAGCGGTTTTTAAGACTCCCCTTTGCTAACACACCGTTCCGTGCGGTGCGCGTGTCGCGCGCGGCGCTCTTGGCACTTTGCCAAGTCCTGTAATTGCGCTTTGGAATACAAGTAAAACGCAATTTCCTGATGCGGATAACATTTGAGGTGCTGCAAAATAAGAGCCGAAGATGATGGACGAGGGCCAGAACTCAACCAGCATTGCTGCTTCTGCAATATTCCTCGAGGCCGCCGCAATTCAACACAAGAAATCTAAAAACGCGCCCAGAGCGTTCCACTCATTTGTAGTTTTAATGTTTTGATGGCTTTGAAACCGGGAATGAGCGCAAATAGCAGATACGCGCGATTCTAATCAATTTGGCGTTTCCTGATTTTTGATTCATTTTGTGTTTATGTACATCTACAGTACGTTTGTTCTTCCATTTGCTGGCCATCTGTGCATCTCATCGCTCGTATTTGGACCTTTGCAGTCATGAGCAACCACCTCTAATGTTTATCCGCATCAAAGAATAATTCGTTTTACGTACATTCCAAAGCGCAACTACAGGAAGTGGCAAAAAGTGCCAAGAGCGCCCGCGCGAACGGCGCTAGCAATAAAACGGAAGTCTGCGGCCGCAAGGGCATTGGGCGGAGCATAAGAATGGGTGTGTTTCACGGTCCTGTACAGTCCTCATCATTACGGACTGTCGGGGCGGCACAGCCGCGCTGCAATGTAACGCGACAGCGGCTGCGGCTCGGTGACGGCGAATCAGCTGATTTCTATGGAATTTGGCTGCGAATTAAAACTTTTCCAACTCTTCGAGCTACGAAAGTGGAAGGTGAGTTGTTCTGAGCAATGTTAAATTGTACTGACTCTATCTGAAAGAATGCAAGCCATTTGAATGAATGCCTGAAATAAGGCAAAGTAGCGAAAAGCAGAATGTAAAAATAAAGGAAATCAGAGCCAGTACAATTCAAAATTGTTCAGAATAACTCACCTTCCACTTTAGAAGCTTGAAGAGCTGAAAAAGTGGGAATTTGCAGCCGAATTCCATCGAAATCAGCTGATTCACCGTCACCGAGCCGCAGCCGCTGTCGCGTCACAGTGCAGCGCGGCTGTGCCGCCCCGACAGTCCGTAATGATGAGGACTGTATCTCCATTCCTGCGCATGTTAGGACGGGGAAACCGCTACGCTTCGACAGCTGGGGGGCTGATAGTCACGCACCCAAACTATGTGTGATCGTACCATGTGTCTTTAAGTGAACGCGAATGTGTGTTTAGATCCTAGTTACAATGTATGTCTGTCTTTTTTTTATATTTTACTGAATTCAACGATGATGTTTCTATCGTGAAGATCATTTGATCTATTTATAGCGAGTGACGCAAAGAGTCTCAACCTTGTACTCGTGTATGGAACCTTTCTTCGCCTTAACTGAGACCTTTTTGATGAAAATCTGGAAAAAAACGACAGTACGTACGACTGTGGCATGTTTTCTTTTTTGAAGTGGTCAAGCCTACTTTTTCGTCCTTCTCATTGAGGTAAACTATGCGGTTTCGCTTCACCGAATATGTTCCAATGAACTTTGGAGACTTGGGATCCGAAATATCCCTGGAAAGTATAAGTACAGAAGATACAACAAGAAGGCAGTCGGTATATTCAACGAAGAATGGCTGTATTGGTTTGAAACCACGATCAACAAACAGGAACTGTGGAGCTGGTGAGCAAGGGACGAATAAGATTAGGAAAAGCGGTACTCGCCTGCGCTACAATGTCACGTCAATGTCACGTCATGTCTGCTTGTCTACGCCCTTTCAATAGGAAGGGAAGCAGCGTATCTACCCACTCTTGAGCTATGAAAAGACGAAACAAGACGAAAAATGATGTGGCTTAAACGGACCACTGCGGCTCTCCATCCCATTAGAATCACGGCGCCTGGAGAGGGCGTAGAGAAAAGATCGATCGCGTCAAAGGCGCGATCGATGCGCTGCCGTCGCGAAGTCTGAACGCTGCCTTATGG